ACCTGATGTTCCAGCACATAGTCCAGCCTTTTGCGATCTGTGTTAATGAAAATGAATGGTTTATGTGATTTTATTTCATAGAAACAAGAACAGAAACAGTGGTAGTTGGAGTCTCACCTTCTAACACAGTGATCCAAACTGTACCGTCACAGAGGTAGAGGCCCTTTTTGAGGGGATTAAACCACAGTTGGCCCTGTAGCTGCTCCGAGCATGACTTCTCCAAGCCCACAGACACTCTAGCTTCAGTTTCTGACATATTAAAAACCAGAAAGCAATCAAAGAGGCAAGCAAACATGCAATGTCTTATTTATACTGAGTAAAAATACATGCATATGCAAATTACCATAGGTATTCCCATGTCTATCATCTTCTCCTCCTGTGGCTGGCAGGTCTAAAAACAGTGGTGGTACTGACAGAGCTGCTAGCTGGGGGTCAGAAGAGGGGCAGATCTGATGGGTAGCATCTGAACCTGGCACCAAAACCAGCTGTCGCAGTAGACCCTGGATATGTGGTCACAGAAGAGGTAATCATTTCCGAGTTCATGGCATATCCTTTACAAATCTTATTATAGTCTGAAATAAAGAAAGGCATCTTACTGAAAACAAGCCCTTCCACAGCCCCCGACTACCAATGTGGAATCTGGATCCCTGAATGTTGAGGTCTGAAGGGAAAGGCCTGGAGGGAATGCTGTTTGCCATAAAAGATATACATAATTATTTCTAATAGGTGGAGTAAGTTGTTTTTCTTCTGTAAATGAACTAAATTCTCTATAATTAAAGTAGTTCATTCTGTTCTTCTCATTCTAGGACTCAGTGTGAGACATGAACTGTATTACATGTACAAGTGCTGTGTGGGTGTTGATATTCCTCCTTTCGGCGTGCCAGAGGGAATTTCCACTAAAAAACCATCTATCACACACTGTCAGGCTACTGTGATATGGCTGCAGGGCATACGCAGATTTTGAGCAGGACCATTTTATTGTGGTGAAGGATCTACTGCGCCTCAAGGCAAAATCGAAGGGAACAGAGTAAAGTGGGAAACAGACGTATCCACCCAGAGAACAGAGAAGAGAAAGAGGCGAGAGAAACTGAGCTTACATTTCCACTGGTGAGCTGCAATCCACTGTGAGCTTAACGTGATGACTACCAATGGCTAAAACAAGAGTGTGCCACTGGCTGTCAGCCAGCTGGGTGCCTCGAAACACCCAGTGCTCTACAACCCCTCTGTGACCTTTATAAAGGAAGTGCAGACGCTTTCCCGAGAATTTAAGTCCAAGAATGAGGCGCCCATCACTTTTGACTCTCGTCTTCTGACTGTGTTGCTCTTCTCCGGTGATACTTGACTCTTTATTGCTTTTCAAACTGCTGCCTCCATCGTTCTCCTCTTTGTTCTGATCCACTGGTCGTCCTTTCGGCCCCATCAGAGAAAACACATATTCATTCCCCTGTTTGGAAAAACAAGAAGGAAGCCCAGACACACTGAATTTGGCAGCGGACGATGCTAACAAAGTGCATACGCTTTTTAATCAAGAATGGAGTTTTTTAGGTGATGGGTAATGAACTATGTTGCAATTTGAAACACTAAATTGCACTAGAAGAACAGACTTGCATGTAAGTTTAATTGCAAATAAATCAATAGGCAGTAAATATGAGCAATACCGACATCTGTGTCAAGTTTAGCAGCGTATGCATTCATCTTTCTGTCAGGGTTAATATGGCACTGTAACAGGAATTTCTGTCAAATCTATTCTGTGTTTTGGGTTTGCAGAGACACAGTCTTTCTATTTATGTAACACACAACATCTCCTCAAGCAAAGCAGGGTGGAGTGGTGGCATCTATTATTTTACTTAAGTAATCAACTGTTATTACTTGCAACATATTCCTGTTTTCACACCCCTGCAGTCATTAGTACCGAGGCGTTTCAGTCAGATGCTCACCTTGGGTGCACTGTCGGAGACTTTTAATGTCAGAACGATGGAGAATTCCTTGGGAAAGAGGTCACAGTTCACCAGTATCTGGGAGGAGGGAAAGCTCAGTGCGGTATCAGGGCTTGAGAAATGAATCCCCCTCACCCCGCCGGCCTGCTTCATGTGCACCCCCGGCACAAGTTTGGATGGGTCCCTCTCAAGGACAAAAGATAGAAGATCCAGGGGAAGCGAACCTGAACAAAATATGCAAATAAAGACTATGGCAGTGAGTTTTATGGCCAAACTTTAAACTTCCTCGTGTTGCGAAAGTAACACTGCAGAATTCCTGGGATGATTAATGGGTTAGAAAAGAATAAAAGCTGAAAGTTTTTAAAGTGGATTTAAACAAAATCACTCTCAGGCTGCAGTAGAAGTAATCTATTCACCGTACTTCACACTTTCACTCAACTTCAGTACATTAGAATAATTTAATAACTTTAGGTTTTGCAATGAAAAGTGTGATTTGATGCTTTATTGTAAAAAAAAAAAAAAAAGAAGAAAGAAAAATACCTAAGAGCATATAAAGTTTGAGCTGAAATGATTAGTGCACCAGCAGGATTACTTACTCTATATACCTTAAGTGCTGAGTGTGGTAGAGCATCTTCAAAACCAGAGGTTTGTTTTAAAGGGACACGAGTCAAAAAGGTCAGGATCCACAGGAAACTAATAAATTCCTCAATGTCCCAGTACTACTGCCACCACCACACCCTGGAGTGTGAGAAACAGCCCTAGGTAGTGGTGGCTTTTATGAGACTTCAGTGGGTTTGTTATTTAATTATTTTTTAAAAAGATACTCTTTCCTAAGCAACGATAACAGAAAAATAATAATACTCCCACACTGATGAGACATCACGTAAACATGCGCTGTGTACGTCCTAATATTTCAATGTGTACGGGATTGTTGTGGAATCCCAACCACACCCAATGTCTGTACTTGTTTATGGATGTTCATTTAGGTTAAAGTGGCATGCACGTCCACACAGAGAAGCACTCCTACTGTACTGTAGGCAGATGCAGACAGCTGGAATTACCAAAAAGTATTTTAGCTAGAGGGGCTTCCTGGGTTTTAGATGAAACAGTAAGCCATTCGCTGTATAATAATTAACTAAACATTACATGTGCTGAACTCAGCTGAGACTGGAAGAGATAAAATAGAATAAAAATGGAATAATACCTGTACATTGCCTCCATGTTTCTGTGGCTGTCTCAGTTACTCTTAACCCCAGGAGAAGGAACGGCATAAATATCAGCGTTGACATTGCAGAAAATCGGTTTGTTTCAGTTTCCAGTTGGTAGGAATGTCTCCATACTGAAGGTATTTCTTTGCCTATCCTAAATGACAACACACACCAGAAAGCTGTGTACACTCCATATTGAGCCTGCTAAGAATTCCAGCTCCAAACAAAAAAATGTCTATGAAGAAACTCGGGTGAAAATCATTAAAGTCACACTGGTAACCTAAGATTGATGTTAGGAGTAGGAAGTCCCAGAGCATCCGCGCTTGGAGAGATCCATTCATAAGTGTGGAAAAACCTGCACCTGCAGCTCCTTTTAAACTCCGGACTCATGCAAATCACTAAGCACCCTGTCAGTCATCCGCACTCAACCACAAATCTGATGACACAGACCTGCCAGAGGGGTGAGCTGCACCACTTTGTTAATGTATACGTGTACGCTCACAGACAAGCAGACAGGCACAATATCTGAATGTGATCACATGAAAAATGATTGATTAAAGGGCTTTTTTTATTGTTATTATTAAAAGGCAATCAAAAGAAAACAACAACACTTGCACGAGCTTTGGTCAAGCAGTGCATCCAAGCCGAGCTTTTACTATATTAGTTGTGATCGCACTTTAGTGTATGTTCAGGACATCTAGATGCTTCCTGAACGCTCTGCAAGTATTGAAAAGGTAATTATGTTTCAAGATAGTAAAGCTAAATAGTATGCTGAACCACATATATGTTTTGAATTAGCAAAATAGTATTAACATAAGCAAAGACTGTAATGGACAAAGTACTAAGAGCAGCTTGGTCAGATAGTTTTTGCAATTAATACATATTTGCATGTATGTCAACCTGGGTGGGCCAAGTCAGTCACAGTGGAGTACCTGAAAGTGTACAGTCTCCTACAGAGGATGTTCAGTGCCACTCAAACTCGACATTCATTGATTTCCTCAAGTCTGTTTAATCTTATTTTGATGGTCACCAGGTGCTCATGAGGAACAGCGGCATGTCTGCTTGTGTCAGATCTCTCAGAACCATCCGGCACATTTACAAGGCAAATGACACAGTCTTTCTTCTTCCACCCACATTAAGATTATGGACGCCACAAATATCAAGGATGCAAAATACATACCAGTATATTTTCCTTTATCCATTCATCAATCTCTCTTACTGCCAGGAACAGCAGTTACACCCCTGAACCTGTTTAGATGAAGAAAAGCAGATGCAGATTGTCCACCGGTGCCTGATTTTCCTTATTCCTGGTTTGACTCATCGGCCGCTATGATTAATCTTATCACTGTTCCGGTTATACTGAATGCAAGTATTCACACAGACTATCAGATGAGATGCCGCGTTCTAAATTTGGACCTGGGTAATAAAGACGATGGTGAAGTTTTAGATGATAATCAGTGTTTGTCCTTTTTTAACTCATTTATCTAAATTTAGTCATCTTTTGTCTACTACATGAAGAAGTGTGCTTGAGGACCACTTCAGAACCTCATTTTCTGAAACCCACTTCAGCTAAGTTTACGGTTTTTCCCACTACTTTCATGCTTTTATGAAAGCAAAGCTTTAGCAAACCCAAGACATGGTATTGGTATGGACCAGTGGTGCCACCTAATGGTTACTTTTGCACATTAGAAAGCAGGTTTTCGGTGCTTTTGGATCCTTAGCTCCCATCTGTGTGCATCTGGGTACCCAAGTTTCACCCCTCCCTTCCCTGGAGACAGAAAAGGGGCTTTAAGTTATGTTCTTTAAAACAAACAGATTAGCTGGTCAAACACAAAAACAAAAACTTGACATCAAATCTGAGTACCAAACTATATTTATTGTATACAGTAGTAAAAGACCACAAATAATGTACAAATCAGTAGAGAAAACATAACATGACAAGACCTGGTCCCCGTTCTTCGTACTTTACAGTTTAGCTCAGCTGACCTTTGTCCAGCTCACTGGGTTCTTGAAATGCGAGCGGAAGGCTGCTTGTTGGCATCGTAAAGTGTGCTCTTACTTTGTGTGACGAAAGCTGGAATCATGATTGCTGACTGGCTTGTGCAGATGCATGTCGCACAAACACTCAACATTTCTCTGTGCAATACAATATTGACAGATGCTTACTGATGGCTGTGCAAGGAAATAAGGTTTCATTTCTCAGTACTGGCACCAACTCTTAACTATTCATATAAAAGATGAAAAACATTTACTGTAGTAGCTGAAAATGTTCAGACAGTTTTTAAAGCACGTATTAAAACCTACATTTCATTTTGTTGCAGTGTGTTTTTAACTTTGAAAGGTGCAACCTTTTCTAATAACTTGAATCCAACTAACTTCAAAAAAAGCTGGGTTTTTCTTTTCAGGATTTGAGCTTAATGAACCGTGGCTGAACTGGGGGGAGGAAAGGGGGAAAAAGAAATCCTAGCTCATTTCAGACTATTTACATTCAAAGATCATTTGGTTACCCACATACGAAGAACGGGGCCCTGTAGGTACAGAACACTTGTCTCCCAAACTCCAATGGCTGACCTCCTGATATGAAACGAACTGCATGCTTCACTCTCCAGAATGTAAAAATAGTGAAAGACGCTCATCACCACTTGAAAGACTGCCACTGTAACAACACACAAGCAGACAGCATCTCAGCAGCTGGCACAGTAGTGAAAAGTGTCATTGGTGTCTTTTAGCAAAGACAATCCAACTTTTGCTGGATACCCTTGCTCAAACTTGAACCTGCTCCTCTTCAAAGCACATCTAAAACTCAGTGTTCCCGTTGGCTTACTTGTGCTAGGGCAATACAGGGGATGAGACACCTGACCTAAAAAAAACAAAACATTCAGGAACCTTTCAGTTATTCCCACTCACAGTCCACCCTCTACAACAAGCAGACCTGCTTTTGAGATCATCACAAGGACTGGTCACTAGTCCACTTTGGAAAAAAACAGAACCGAAAAGAAAAATGTTATGTATTTTGCACCAAGAGATTCTTTACACAATCAAACGCCGACCAGCTTACACCGTGGATGCACTTCTGTGATATAGATGAATTCTTTCCCCTGAAACAAGCATTTCTGCATAAGCATATATCCATCTGTACCGCAGACACCCACAGTCACGCACTGAGTAGCCATCTAAGAGGAAGCAAACACTGATGCAATATAAATGCCTTTAAATGTGACAGTTTTCACCTTGAAGTTGGCTTTTTAAAGAGAAGCACGTCAAATATGAAGCAGACGTTCTGTTTTTGGAGTATTGGTCCAAGTCCCACAACATTTATCTAACACCCATTCTGATACTGCTGTACAGGAGGGGGAAAAATGTCGACCATATGCCCCATGGGTGTTAATGTTTAAAATGACAGACGAAAAAACAAAAAATAACATTTACAAAAGAAAAGAAACATTGCAGAAGCACCTAAAATGCAAAGAATTAAAATTCATTTAACAAAACAAAAACAAACAAAAAAACGAGTCACCATTCAGACAACAAACACACAGAAAAGCAATGTGAAATGGGAAGCATGTGTGTATTATGTTCAGATAGTGCTTCAACTTCAAACCATTTTTATGCCCACTGACAGTGACCCCTGGACAAAACACTTGCAGAGCCTCGCATTCAACCCTGATGGATGAAAACAGTGACAAACTACTGGATACTAAGCTTTCACTGCACAGTGAACCAAAAGCAGTGACAAACCAGGAACAGCTGTGATGAGTTGTTGGTCCAATCACAGCCAGCGGTGCCAGAAGGAAATCTGTGTCCTGATTGGCCAGCAGAGAGACTGTTGACACACAAAAGTTCAGTCCTGACTGAGACAGCACATAAACAGCCAAAGAGGCCCCCCGCCCACACCTGACGAAAACCATGACAGACATCTTTAAACTGAAAGAATAATAATAATAATAATAATAATAATAATAATAATAATAATAATAATAATAATAATATGAGGGGAGTGGTGGGGAAGGGATGGACAGTGAGATGGTTGAGGGCGTTGTCTGAGGGTGGCCGTCAATGAGGTGGGTAGAGCTTAGCAATGGCCGCCTGTCTGCTGCTGGAAAACATCTATGGTGTCTTCATCTTCCATTTCCAGCTGAGAAAAAGATGTTCCATATATTAATTATTTTACAGTATTGCAAACATATTCAATTTATTTAGGGGACAAGTGCGCTGAAGAAACTGAATGCGTTTCAATAATGGTTACAAGTAGGGCTGCCACGATTTGTCGACTAGTCACGATTACGTCGACTATCAAAATCGTGATTCAATAGTCGACGTGTCGTTTGAAGCTTTGTAAGATCGCAAAAGACACAGAAGTAGCAGGATTTAAGAGTGTAATAACGGACTGGAACAGAAGATGGCAGCACTGCATGTACAAGGATGCCAGCTGCCGTTAAACCCCGAAGAAGAAGCAGCTGTGTCCCAGAATTCATAGCGCGGCCCAGCTTAGTTTCCAACAATGGCGGTAGCTAGTTAGTTTTAATATTACTCTTATTATTCTTTCTGGGTCACAAAATAAACGTTTAACATATTTTCAGGCGAGAATGTAGCTGTGTAAACCTCAAATATCGGCTCAGTTTATCAGGACACCACATATTTTCAAAAGCACTCCGACGTTTTCGGAGACGTCTGTTACCCACTAGCTCGATAGCTAGCCGGGGGCTAGGTCACTAGCGCCGTGAGAACACCGGACTCCCGGCAAATTGTTTTCAAACCCACCGCCGTCTTTCGCGACTCAGGTTAAATATATATGAGTCACTTAGATAAATTAAAAATGTTGTTGTTTGGCTTTTTTTTATTTTATTTAGTATTTTATTTGTTCCTGAGTAAATCGGTTTGGCTGAGATTAAAGTTATAGTTTTTACACAGCTGAATAAACGTAAAGCAGACAGCTGATTATCAGAAGTGTGAGATGCTGGAGAATATACTCCGGTGTCCTGTTATATTTTAGATAGCAAGGAGTTTATTAAACTTTACCGAAACAATCTGCAAATTTCATTAAAATTGAATAAACTATCATCTTGTCTTTATTTTTAGTTAGCACCTTAAAAGCTTAAAGCTGTAAGCTAATGATAGTTATATAAGAGCAGATGCTGCTGGTGCAATAAGCTGTAGTTTTACATCCAGTGGATGATGATCTGATTAGTCGACCAATCGCATAAATAATCGGTGACTAGTCGACTATCAAAATAATCGTTTGTGGCAGCCCTAGTTACAAGTGCATAATAATCATACCTGTGCAGGCGTATCCGTCTCATTGATCGGCTGGCCATCAAACCTGAACCTGATCTGCCTTATTGAGAGACCCTGCAGATGAAGATGCCGGCTTTTCGTTAAAAGAACAGCAAAGTTAAGTGTGCAAGTAATCATGCTGCTTAAGAACTTACAGCAGCTTACCTGTCGTTCACAGTATGCCTTCATTAGTTTACTGAGAGGTGTGTGCCTTTTTATTTTAAACTGAACCACCGACCCATCCTGCCCTGCAACCTTGAGGTTGATGTGGTCATTCTCAGTCTTTACGCCTTCCTGTAGAAACACAATGGTTTAACACTTGATAAACAAATGGATTAGCAACCACAGTAATGCATAGTACGTATACGTTTTCTTTAAAGCGACATACACAATACTGTTAGCCTTGCTAGCTCAGACATACAGAAAGTAAATTAATAGGCATATAATCCCACAATTTTAACAGCCGTGTCACAAAACACAGACGTGCCTTGTGTTGAATTACTGTCATACTATTCAATTGATGCTTTGATTAAAACAAAACGTACATTGGAGCTCAATAACACAGACATGCTACCATATGCGTTCACACAAGGCACTCACAGGCGCTAACGTTAGCATCATTAGCTCCGGGCTAGGCTCAGAACCACTGGCGAGTTTAGCTACCGGCTAACGCTGCTAGCAGTTTTGTTATGAAGTATTGTGGTACAACAAGCAGCACAACGAAAAAATTAAAACAAATAAAATAAAAACTACCAGAATACCATAGTCACATCAGTTTTTAAGGCGGTGCGTCACCTTCATTTGCGCTCTTCTGCCACTGCTGCAGTTGCGGCATTTGCGGCGGTGCGGACATAGCGTGGTCCCGTTTCGACAAAGAAAAAAATCCGCAAATAACAATCATGGTGTAATTGACATTCCTGCTCCCAACCTTTTAGACCCCAATTAGCGGGACAACATCCCTCCCAAACTCACCTACAGCGAGCTGTGTGAGCGCATATAGACGCACATATGAATGTGCGGGTACTCATTCATTTGCGAAACAAACACTGCGCCGATTTAGAGAAACGTGCAAACCAGGCCATTTTTAGATTGCACATATAAGCGACGGTTTCGCAGGAGCTCGCCTCAGCCATCATAACAAGCAAGCAGTTATATAAACCTCTATATATTACCTTTGGCTTTTCCTCTGACATCTCCGCAGGATTTCGCGTTGCAGTTTACAGAATAATCTGCTAGTTCGGCTTTATTTGTCTTTCTGCCGCCTTCTGTCCTCTCCTCTGCCCTGCTAACGGGTGCGCGCTTCAGACCGTTGCTGCAAATAAGCCATTGGCCCTTAAAACACCACGTGGTTGCCAAATCGCGGGAGCGCGCGTCTATGCAAAAAAAAAAAACCTCGATCACGCGAGGAATCTATATGAAAATCTCTTATTGTGCGCACAAATTAAACCAAATAACGAGCCACCTGTAAGTGATAGCTATTGAAGTTCTGTAGTTTAATTTCCATTCATTTAAAATGTTTTGTTTCCATCTTAGTTTAGTTTAGACCAGACTTCAGAATTGGTTAAGCTCTTTAATGTTTAAATATCCTAGTGTATTATTATTGTCATTTTTAATAATACTTTGACTCTTTTAATTTAATTATATGTTTTAAGAAGTTCAGAAATACAGTAGTGGTCAGAAGTTCTTATACACTCATTATGGGCATGAAAGTCATGATAATTTGGGGCTTTTAATAATTTCTTTGAACTGTTCTTTTTCCAGTCAGGAATGATTAATTTACAGTATGCATCAATCTGATGCACAACTTTGAATTTATTTGGGATTTTCTTCAATCCACACAGGGTCAAAAGCAGAAATACAGACTCAAATATAGACATCAAATCACTTAATTCCCTTAATAAGTGCTATTCAATGTTCTACAATATCTATCAGTTTAACAAGGTGAAGGCCTGTTTACTTTTTGTTAGTGATCATGTTTGAATGCAACTGGTAGTTTCTTCTTTCCAAAAGGTGAGCAGACATCATATTAAACCCTATGGATTAAGAATGTAACTTGTGTTCATATGTGTGAAGGCAGCAAGTGAAGACTATTAGCAATATAGTGTATACACTTGAGCCTGTATGTGTACTTTTGACACTGCGTGGATTAGATAAAATCCAAAATAATACTGATGATGCCATAGCCCTGACACTACACACTGCCCTGTCACACCTGGAGAAGAGAGACACGTATGTGAGAATGCTGTTTGTAGATTACAGCTCAGCATTCAATACCATCGTTCCCTCGAAGCTGGACAGGAAACTGCAGGATCTAGGACTGAGCAGCTCCCTCTGCAGCTGGATCCTTAGCTTCCTGTCTGACAGACGCCAAGTGGTCAGACTGGGCAGCATCACCTCATCCCCCATCACACTGAACACTGGTGCTCCACAGGGGTGTGTACTGAGCCCTCTCCTGTACTCACTCTACACCTACGACTGCACAGCCACTAACAACTCCAACATCATTGTGAAGTTTGCGGACGACACTACAGTGGTGGGTCTTATCACCAATGGTGATGAGACGGCTTACAGGGAGGAGGTCAGCGCCCTGACCCACTGGTGTCAAGACAACCATCTCACCCTCAACGTCGCAAAGACAAAGGAGTTGATAGTGGACTTCCGGAGGTGCAGAGAAGTACACACCCCCATCACCATCAACGGCGCTGCTGTGGAGAGAGTGAGCAGCTTCCGGTTCCTTGGTGTACATCTGGCTGAGGATCTTACGTGGTCAGTACACACAAACAAAACAGTGAAGAAGGCGCAGCAGCGCCTCTTCTTTCTCAGGAGACTGAAAAGATTCGGCATGAGCCCCCGCATCCTCAGGACCTTCTATCACTGTGCCATTGAGAGCATCCTCACTGGATGCATCACCACCTGGTATGGCAACAGCACCGCCTACAACTGCAAAGCTCTCCAGCGAGTAGTGCGGTGCTCTGAACGGATAATTGGAGGTGAGCTTCCCTCCCTCCAAGACATCTACAGGAAGCGGTGCCTGAGGAAAGCGGGGAGGATCATCAAGGACTCCAGTCACCCCAGCCATAAACTGTTCAGACTACTTCCATCAGGAAGGAGGTTCTGCAGCATCCGGTCCCGTACCAGCAGACTGAGAGACAGCTTCTTCCACCAGGCCATCAGACTGCTGAACACGTCATAGACACCTCAGCTTCACTACTGGAACTTTAACATTATGCACTCCATACTGTACAGTAATGCCACTGTTTTGCACATGTCTCAACTCTGTATATTTTTATATATTTTATTTATTGTTTACTCTATTTAATTTGTAAAATATGTGTACACACACACACACGTAGAAAAATATTTAGTATACACATCCAGAAATGCATATACTATTATATATTGTACATATATTTATTAGTTTCAGATGTAGCCATTCTTGTATTTTGCTTGTTTACATTATTGTATTTTGCACAACTCTGTTGCTTGTGAAGCTCGCACACAAGAATTTCACTCACATGTGCTGTACCAATGTACCTGCACATGTGATGTGACAATAAAAGTGATTTGATTTGATTTGATTTGATTAAGAAAAGGGCAATGTGTGGGGCAATGTGGGAAGTACTGGTAACGTTGGTATAGCAAATTTTTATATGTTTAACATTAAAAACATAAAAACTATGCAAGTTCCTCACTGGTTTGGCATTGGTTCCCAGCTTCCTGGCAAAGTAAATACAACACAGTGTCTGTGAAGGTTCTCAGTCATCCAGGTCATCGTAGTCAAAGGAGCTTGCAAAGAAAAGCGTCTGGACTTCTTTAAGTTAGCTTGAAGACGTTTCACCTCTCATCCGAGAAGCTTCTTCAGTTCTAAGGTCAAATGGTGGAGAGTCCCAGATATAAACCTAGTGGGAGTTCCCCCCACAGAGGGACAAAAGGACCCCCTGATGATCCTCTAATCACCTGAAACTTGGCTGTTGGACCCACACCCAGTTTCACACCTTGGCTCAGGCGATTAGAGGATCATCAGGGGGTCCTTTTGTCCCTCTGTGGGGGGAACTCCCACTAGGTTTATATCTGGGACTCTCCACCATTTGACCTTAGAACTGAAGAAGCTTCTCGGATGAGAGGTGAAACGTCTTCAAGTAACTTAAAGAAGTCCAGACGCTTTTCTTTGCAAGCTCCTTTGACTAAATACAACACAGATAAATAGAAACTGAAGTTTATTTTATGGTCTAACCTTTAACTCTCATTTCATCTCATTTTCTCTGCTTATCTTGTTTGGCATCAGTACTGATGCATCCATAGTTCACATTTCTTTATGAGCTGTGCAGACTAATATGTGGGGCATTGAGTCAACTAGTGCATGCCCATGCTACAGTGTAATTGTCCCTTTTGACAGCAAAATCATGGCCTTACTTTAACCCACTTACTTGGTATATATGTGTTACTAATAAGTCCTTTAGTTACAGGTAGTCTCACTGCGATGGAGATCTTTTTTTCAAGAGGGAAAGGAGTACCAAAAAAAACCCTAAAACATACAAGAGCACTCACAAAATCTAGTGTAATAAATCTAGTGTAGTATATTAATCTTTTTGTGTTTTTGCGTTTTGAAGTTATGTAATATTGTACTGAAATAATAATGTTTTAAAGAGCTCAAACAAAGAAAGTGCTTATATCCCCCAATGACTAATATATCACTTCAAGGAGATGATCCAATGGAAACTAAAGCTTTTTCCTAATTTGTGTGATCCTGAACTTTGACCTATGGCCTTGAAGATATTCTAAAATATATACCAAACATAACCACATTACAGTGGTGTATTTGATTATTTTACCCATATGACTGGAGCAGAATTGACTGAAATCTTTGGCTTCTATAGGCAGAAAAAGAGATTTTAAGTCAAAGTTAAGTTTAAGTTAAATTTGTGCAGTCTGTGACTTTGTGACTTTATGGTGTCATTGTGATGTCGAATTGAAAAAACAAGAGCATTCGGAGAGTGCAACTCACCCTGAAGGGCAAGGACAATACTTTTACTATACTAAAAAAAAATAGATGTTTTATGATGTTTTTATTATAACATGCTGACATCAGCCTGCTTTTATTACAGTGCAGCAACCTCAGCCTGCTTTTATAAAGACATCATAATGCCTGACCTTCGACCTATGACCTTGAAGCATTGAATACTAAAATAGTCTGTTTTACTATCTTTACCTATATGATTGCAACACAACTGACTAAAATTTCTGGCTTCTATAAGCTAAAAAACCTTGAGATTTAAAAATATTTTCATTTTCAGTGCGTGATTTTACAAATCTTTATGCTGTCACTGTAACACTGTAGTGCATGGTATTTGGGGGAGGGCCGGGGTGGGGTGGTAGGTTGTACAGCTCTCAAAGGCCTTTTATATGATATATTACTCAATATTGTTTTTTTGAAAAACTTTTCTGGGTCAACTTTACCTTTGCGTGCTGACAATGAAGGTCAAGATCAAATGCTTAGCTAACCTAGGCTTGCATATTTTTGTAAAGACAACCCATTAAAAAAAATAAGGTAATATGAAGAGCAATATAAAGATTTTATTGATTTTGGCATGACCTTGACCTGATTTTCTTGTAAATTAAATCAGCTCCGGCTGTTACTGGCATACCATCACACAAAATATGAAAATGATACCTTGAAAACTGTGGAGTCAAGATTGCTAACAAACAGACAAACAAACAAACAGAACCATGACACCACCAGGAGAAAAATCCAGACAGACACTTAACATGAAATCAAAAAATGCAGTTTCACAATTTTTGTAGCTCATTTCATAGGCAGCAAGGTATTCAAATCCAGTTTCTCCAAGACCAGTGTGAATGGGAGGTGCAGCTAAAATGTCTTTCAGCCTTCTAAATAAATAAATCCCACTCCTTCATATAAGATACAACGGTGAGTAAGTGTGATACACAGAATCAAGAGGCTTCTGGGGAGACGGAGAAGCATACATATAAACACTGTCACCACTGTCATCAGACGCAGACAAAACTCTGGATGTTCACTGTGTACAGTGATGGTAATTCAGAATGCACCTGTCCCTCCTCAAAAGCAGACTCGTGAAAATTCCACACAGGTGCTGGAAAGCCGAGTCCATTTGTCTTTCGGGAAGCATTGAGCACTTGCAGTCTATAATGTTCACGGCGCCATGGTCTGTCGTTTTCTGACGGCCTTTCTCTGTCCACGCTGGTTTCTCGCAGTCTGCGCAAAGCTTGTGCGGACCGGTCATGGTCCAAGCGATGCACCTTTTCCTCACTGGTTTCGCGCAGTCTCCGTGAAGCCTGAGCCA